ACACACACACACACACACACACACACACACACACACACATACACAGACACACATAAAAAAAATTATATGCATTTGAGAGGTAACTACTATTAAGCCCCGAAAGTTTCCAACACAACTAGAATCTAGGTCTGGTTTTCGTAGTAGTGGTAGGCCTACTTACTTACTTTTTACTTTTTACTTTTTCATCATCTGTTGCCGTTAAGCGTCGAAGGGAGATGCAGTTTTCTATGGTAGGCCAGCTCGGCAGCTCTTTCAGTTGTGATGATATTATGTTTTCTCAGGGTTTCCTCGACACCCTCGACCCACCTATCGTCTTCAAGGCCTACGCTCTGTGAAAATCTGTCTGGGTTTGTTGTGCACAATGGCTAACTGAGATCAAACTTTAATAGCATTGTCATACCGCCTGTAGATGTATGAGGAGTATTCTAAGAATTAAGTGGCAGGATAGAATAAGAATGAAGAGCTGTGGGAAAGGACAGGACAAAAGGATATAGAGAAGTAGAAATAGGACTAAGAAAGTGGCGATGGATGGGACACACCTTGAGAAAGCCCAGAGGAAACATCACAAGACAGTCACTGCAGTGGAACCCACAGGAGCACGAGGTTGGGGTAGGCCACGACAAACATGGAGGAGATGCGTGGAAAGGGACATGAGAGAAATGAAGCTCACTTGGAACGAGCTTGGAAGGATGGCTCAGGACAGAAATAAATGGAAGGAGCTTGTATGTGGCCTATACCCTTCCAGGGGTGAAAGGTATTGATGATGAGGATGATACCACCTGTGGCACAAGCAAACAATCGAGAGGATATACTGTGGAACAGATTACCCATGGAACTAAGATAAAAAAAAGAACACTTGATAGCTTCCAAAGATGTCTTAAGCATTTACTGTTCCTAAAGGCCTATCCTTCATAAGCTTGTAGCGTTATTCTTTAAAGTATAGTTGTTCTGAGCCTACGTCTGAATAAAAATAATCCGTTTGTGTGTGTGTGTGTGTGTGTGTGCGTGTGTGTGTGTGTGTGTGTGTGCGTGTGTGCGTGTGTGTGTGTGTGTGTGTGTGTGTGTGTGTGTGTGTGTGTGTGTGTGTGTGTGTGTTTGTGTGTGTAAATATATATTGCAAGAGAAGAAAGGAAGTAGTACGAAATGTTTTGAAAATGGGTATTCTAATGTATAGCTCATTGAGCTACTTTTTTGTGTGGAAATGCGCTATATAAATGCTATTTTATTATCATTATTATTATTATTATTATTATTATTATTATTATTATTATTATTATTATTATTATTATTATTATTATTATACAATATTAGGCAAACTTCTGTTTGTTGAGATACGACTTTGGCTTTTGTTTGGAAACACATTCAAAGTCGCAGTACAGAGTAGCGGCTTTCCAGCAGCTGGATTAATTAGATTTGTTTTATAATCGCTGCAGGTGGTTTGTTGTGTTTCATTTCAGCTCGGGTATCCCAGAAGATATTCGGAGACGTCTCCGGTGAGCACCTTGGCACTGCTTCGGGGGGTCAAACTGCGCATCGTTTGCTGCAGATCACAGTATATATAGTCGAACCTGCCCTGACGGCCACCTCTATAAGACGGTCACCTGTACAAACGGCCACTTTCTATTTCCCCATTGCGTTTTTTCCTATAAAATTTACTTGTGTAAAACGGGCACCTGTCCAACGCGCCGCGGCCACCATATTTTAACACACAACCCCTATCACAATAAGCAATAACACGTACCTGTCTTTGACGGCCACCTTAGTGACTCCATTACGTTTTGTCATAAATTGTGCATTGGCCCCTGGCGTTGAGGGCGAGCCGTCATAATTCAATCACCTGTCGTTGTTGTTAGGTAGTCCCTCCAACCGATCACATTGCGTAGGCCCCTCCCACTGTTGACCAATAGCTACCGATTTTCAGCTGCTGGTGAGGTAAGCGTGTGATCCCTCATAACCCAGATGCCCCGCCCAGAACTCATATTACAAATCGTAAGTGAGATGAGTGGTCACTGTTTACCCAGTCTGTAATAAAGTAACAAAGGACGTCAACATGAACTTGTGACAGAAACGTCGCTCGTTCTCCGAGTGGTGGCGACCCATGTGTTTGTTTTACCATAGCACTCGGTCCTCCTTGTCTGACACATTTCGTTTTACTGTCACCCTTGTGCAAAATCAGCAACAAAATAAAAATTATAAACAAAATACAAACCACCACCACCACCACCAACAACAAAAACAACAACAATACGGCTATTTTCGATTGGGACCTCAGATGAGAATAGTTTGTTTTCTTCATCTTGATCAGTCCTGCCTAAGACGGCCACCTGTCTTATACGGCCACTTTTCTCCTTTACAATGTGTGGCCGTCTTACACAGGTTTGACTGTATAGCCACTAAAATTGTCGCCAATCAATTATTTTCAAGAAAATGTCAAACCTAACTGCAAAATATCAAATTAAGGATCAAAACAGGGGGGACTGCCCCCCTGTAACCCCCCAGATTATAAAAACTTGGTCTAGAGGCACAAAGCATTTTCATTTGTCTATCTCCGAGGGACACGTCTCCGAATAGATACTGCGCCGTCTTGGTGTCGTTTCTCTATTGGGGAGGGGGGGGGGGGTGTGCTTTCGTGGTCTGTCTAGAGGTTACGGTGTTCGCCTCTCATTCAATAGGCCCCGGGTTCGAAACCTGACAGCAACCAACAATTTTCTTTTCTAAAAAACTGCCCCCTTTCACCTCCATTCCTGCTCTCTAACCAACGTTCTGTCGTCTGCTCTGATTTTGTCTCCAAGTTCTGCCCCTCCCCCCCTTTGCCCTCTGTTCTGGGCTCCTGACTCTTTCTGCAGCCTTTCTTTTTCAACCACACCCCTTGTCTTGTGGTAGGTAACACCAAACACCTAGCCTTCTCGGGTTAGGGCTGAAAATCTCGGAGGCCGGTGTGCAAGTTGCGCACATTAAAGATCCCTTGCAGGTCATAAAATCGATGAGAGTAGGTTTCGAATATTATGTTTAATGTTTCCCACGCGCTCAAATGACCTTATACAATTACGAGCGCAGTAAAACACTTACCAAAATAAGTTTCTCTATTAGGTCTACGGATGATCTTGTTTCGATCCAAGGTCATGGCACCTTAAGACAGAGCGGCTAAAAATCTAGGAGGTCCGTGTGCAAGTTGCGCAAGTTAAAGATCTTTAAATCGATGTGAGTAGCCTTCGAAAATTATGTTTAATGTTTCCTACGCGCTCATAATATACCCATATACAGTTTCCAGCTCCGTAAAACACTTACCAAAATACGTTTCTCTATTACGGATGACCTTGTTTCAAACCAAGGTCATGGCACCAAGAGAGAGCGACGACCAAGCCAAGAGGGGAAAATCTGAACACAAAGAACGGACACGGGTGACTGATTCTGAGCGTGTATTCTGGTACTAAAGTGTGTAGTTGTCTGGCACCCTTTGAAGCCCACGTTTCGTGGTGTGTGTGTGTGTGTGTGTGTGTGTGTGTGTGTGTGTGTGTGTGTGTGTGTGTGTGA